GAGCGGCCCCGGGAGCATCCGGCTCCATCAGCCGGAGGAGAGCGGCGGAGCTGGCGCCGCGCGGGAGCCCCAACGCGCTGGGCCCTAATTCTAGCAAATCTTAACCCAAACAGCACTCAAAACCCCTCCTAGTGCCATAAACCAGGCGCTCCCCAAGCTGCAGAGCCATTTTTTCCCCCCACAAAGTAATTTTTTCCCCCCTTCTCCGCATGCTCCCAACACCAAACATGTGTTTTAAAAGGGAAAAGTGTGAAGTTCGCAGCCCGGGAGAGGAAAGGGCCGGAGAGACCCAGCGCGCGGGAGGAATGTGCAGCTCCCAACCCAAAATACCTGCTGGAAGGTTTATTGCTTTCCTATTTAAAAAGGAAAAAAACGCTGATCAGGTGCTAAGTAATGCTATAAAGTAAAACCACATTTCCAAGGTGTCGGGGACGTTTGCGCTTCTCTTGCCAACGGCCGGGTTTCATTTTATTTTTATATCGGTGCTGTAAGCGGCCGAGAAAGCAAAGGAGAAACCCACCGATAAAATACGGCCGAGAGCGGCTCAGGATTTATTAAGACCTGCAGAAGATTTTGGGGGAAAAAAAATAAAAATAAAAAAAGGAAGAAGAAAATCCAAAAGAGAGCAAAAAGGGGAACAAAAGGCGAGTGCTGCGAGGGGAAACGCGCTCAAAGCGCCGCGAAGCCGCGAGCAACGCGGTCGGAGCGGCCGCCGGTCCCGTGCGCTTCCCTCTTCTGTGCTTCTCTCCAGGGCATTTTTCCTGCCCAGATCCGGGCGGGATGGGAGTGAGGAAGAGCCCAGGGGCTGCGGCAGGGCCGAGCGGGACGGACGCTCGTCCCCGCTCTCACACGGCCCCGGCTGCTCCGAGGGTCCGGGTGCAGGTCGGGGTGTTGGGATGGAGCGGGTTTGGCTGTCCCCCCTGCACCGCAGGGAGCCTCGGCGCCATCCCAAATTGCCCCAGGGTGAATTGCCAGCGGGATTAACCCTGTGGTGCCTGGGAAGCGCCCGGCACGGGGCTCCTGGGACGCGGCCTCGCTGCCGAGGCTCCTGCAACGGGGCTTTCGGAGGGGATTTTCCCTTCCTGCTCCGGCTCTGACTCCCCCGGGAATCCCTGCTCCAAGCGCTGCTCTTGGATCCTTCCCCCGGCTCCAAGCAGTGGGACAGGGCAGTGTGGGAACGGGTCGATCCCGCAGCATCCCGGTGCCGGAGCCGCCGGCTTTCCCGGCACTGCGGCCAGCGTCGCCTCGAGACGTTCCCGTGGCCAGGAGGAAGCCGAGCTTCCTGCTGCGGGATAGGGTTTGTCCCGGGCTATGGGGCAAGGGGGACAGGGCAGGGAGGGAGCCCTGCGGCCGCCCTCATCCGCCAGGCTGAGACCAGCTGGACTCAGCCCACAGGTGGCTCAGCCCAACTCGCTGCCTCAGGGCACGAGTCCCCGAAGGGCAGCGCTGCCCCAAACCCCCATCCCGGGGGGTCCCCTTGTCCGGGGGGCTCCCGTTGTTCGGGACGGGGAAGGGGGATTCCTTGTTCTCCGGGGGGGTCTCTATTGTTCTCTGCGGCAGGAGGGGGCTGGGGAGGCGGCCCGGGCAGGGGGGGCTCTATTGTTCTCGGGCAGA